GAAGGAAGGAGAGAAAGGAGGGAGAAGGAAAGGGAGGGAGGATGGGAAGAAAGATCTCTGACTGGAAGGAATTTATTTTTCAGTTCCTTTCATATTTATTGATAGGGAGGTTTAATATACAAAAATGTAAATTCCATTCATTTGATCTGTAAATTCACTGAAATTCCAAAGTCGAAGTAGGCTTCGTTAGCTACTTGATAGTAGGCTTCGTTAGCTACTTGATAATCTGTTTCTGAAATGGCTATGCCTGAGTGAAGGCCCAAGATTAGCAAAGCCGTTCCCGAAGGATAAGACAGGGGGACTTTCTCGGCCAGATTTCAAGACACATATAAACCAATGGTAATTAAAACAGCGTGTATTGGTTCAGGACAGAAAACTGGGACAGGATAGAGAGCTCAGAAACAAACCCATGAATATATGGAAGTTTGGTATATAATGGCGAAGGTGCTGCAGATCACTGAAGAAAGGAGAGACTACTTAACAAATGATGGTGGTATAATTCACTATTCATATAGAAAAATATGAAATTAGATACCTCATACTTCAGATCAAGGCTGGATTGATTCGTGAAGAAAGAGTTACAAGTTTTAAAGTATAAAATATCTTTATGAACTAGACCTCAGGAAGGGGTTCTTCATATACAAAAAGAGCTAGACATTTTATGCCCACTAGATTGGCAAAAATTAAGAGTTCTGAAAATAACAGGTGTTGTCAAGGATGTGTATCAAAGGGAACTCATATAGACACTGAAAGAAGTATAAGCTGGAATAATTGTAATCACTTTGGAAAACAATTTAGTATTATCCTGTCAAGTTGGGTATTTGTATACCTGTGTAGCACACAGCAATTCCATTCTTCGGCATTCCTCTAGAACGGCGTTTCTCTAACTTGAATGAGCAGCAGCATCACCTGGAGAGCCATGCAATTCGGGGCTCCCACCTGTAGAGATTCTGATTCAGTAGGTCTGGGATATAGCCTGTAAATTTGCATTTCTAATACGCACACAAGTGATGAGCCTGCTGCTGGTTTCCAATCAGCTGGAGTAGTGCTTTTCCAGATTTCTTCACCCGTGTCTTGGGAAACAGAAACAAGAATGTTGAAAGCCACATTGTTCATAATAGCAAAAATCTGGACACAACCCAGATATCCATCAGCAGAAGAATGGATAAATAAATTGTAGCATGTTCACACAATGACGCATACAACACTGAAAATGAATGAGCTATAACTACGTATAACAACCTGGATGAATCCTAGAAGCATAATGTTAAGTGAGAAAAGTAAGTTATAAGAAATTACATACAGCATGACACCACTTTTTAAAAGCTAACAAGTTAAATAATGTATTGTTTAGAATAAAACTAAAATAGAAAGCAAGGGAATCAAAAGCACGAAAATGGGAAAGGGAAGAATCGCGTAACCAGATGCCAAGGTGTGGGTATTATGGTAGCTGTTGAGGTGGATGATGGTTTCTGATGTGCTTCAGAACTGTCATGTAAGTTACATATATTCTCCTGTATATGAAAAAATATACATAGTACACTTAAAATGGAAAAAAAAAATAAACAAGTACCAATCAGGTAAGCTAAATGAAACAAGAAAAGATTATATGGAAACTAAAATTGTAATAACAATTAAAATACTCATTGGATATAGTAAATGACAGAAATGATCCTGGAGAAAATAGATATGCAATGTCCAGGACAAACTTGAGACATCCTCTTGCCAAGAAAAAACAAAAACATTAAAAAACAATGAAAAAAGAGATGACACATGCACAGATTTAAGGATGGAGATCTAATAGACTCACCTAAAACAGAGATTGGAGTGAACAGAAAGAAATAAGATTAAAGCTATGTTTAAAAATACATTCCCACAGGTTGAAGAAAGGCCTTAGTATTTCTTATCTCCCAAATACCAGCAAATTAATGCAGAAACCCATGTTGACACATTCCTGGTAAAAGTTCAAATATCAATCAAGGATAAAAACATGACTCCTATAAGCATCCTGGCAGAACACAAAAGACAGAGAATAAACAGGCTAACCAAAGATAGAATAAAATTCATGCTAGCCTCAAACTTCTCTGGAACAGCAAACACTACAAAAAAAGTGATTTCAGAGTTTATTTAGGAAGATAAATTGATATGACTAATTAAGGAAAGTTTGAACAAAGGAAGAAAAATTATAATGAAATGGACTTGAACCTGTAGATATTAAAATGTAAATTATAATCATTAAAATGGTGTGAAACTGATAGAGAAATGGAGAGTTCATTAGAAGAGAAGATCCAGACACAGAATTATATATAAATATAACATTTCTTATCAGTAGATTATGATATACATAACATAAAAGATATATGATATATTCATATATTTACATATATTTAATGTTTTATATACTATATAACATATAACATGTAATATATACTACATATTTATATTAATAATATAACATAATATATAATACATATCTACATATAAATGTAAATATATTAAAATAAAATATATATGCTAATGTAATTATATAATTATATAGTATATGTAATAATTCCATATATTATATAATATATAATACTATTTATATTTATATATATGTATATGAAACTTGGTATGTGATAAAGATGGGTTTAGGGACAGGTTATTCACTATATGATGCCACAGCGCAGCAACCAGTAAATTATTCAGAAAATAATAAAGCTAGTACCATACACCAAAATATTTTTCAATGAACTAAAAGGTTAAATTTTTTTTTTATTGTTAGTTTCAGGTGAACAGAACAATGCAATAGTTATCCTTTTCACCCTTCACACAGAAACAATTCCCCTCCCCCATCTACTGCCCTCCCACCCCCGATGGCATACTTACCTATTACAATTCCATTGACTCTGTTCCCACACTCTACTCCACATCCCATGACTATATGTATATATAATTATAGTTGAGATACATTATTATTCAACATCAGCTTCAGAAATACAGTGCGGTGGTCAGATCTCTACACCGACTATGAAGTGGTCTCCCTAACAAGACATGAGTCCAACTGGCCCAATAAAAAATATTTATAACATTATTGATTATATTCCCCAGACTGTCTTTTCTATCCCTGAGGCCATATTGTAGTTACCAATTTGTATTGTCTCCTCCCTTCCCCTTCTCCTTCATCCCCACCCCCTCCCAACTAGCAACCCTCAGTTTTTCCTCTGTGTCTCTGAGACTATTTCTGTTTACGTTTCTCATTTATTCAGTTTTTTAGAATCCATGTATAAGTGAGATCATATGGTATTTGTCTTTCTCTGACTGACTTATTTCACTTAGCATAATGTTCCTTAGGTCCATCCATATCATTGCAAATGGAACAAATTCAAAAGGTTAAATTTTAAAATGATAATATAAAAAGAACTAGAAAAATGTAAGTGAATATTTATCTGAAACTTGTGTAAGGAAGGACTTTCTAAGAAAAAAATAAAAAGGAAGTAATCAAGAGAAAAAGATTGACATATTTTCCTATAAAAGTTTTTAAAACTCTCCATGTCAAAAAAATTCATGAAAAGTGATCAAAGGCAAACTACAAACATGGACAGAATATTTGCTCCACATTTATTCTAAAGAATTCTTACCACTAATATTAAAAGATACGTTACAAATCAGTAAGAAAAAGGTGGGCAGCCCATTGGAAATACGGGTGACTGTGATAAACACATCACAGAGTAATAATCAAAAACACAGAAACTGTAATAAGAGACAATTGAAGCAATGAGATTTTTTTCATTTGTATGATTGACAATGATGAAACATTTGCCATTTTAAATATTAGGAGACTGTATTTAACAGCCATCCTAAGGCTATTTAAAGCTAATTAAGGTAAATGGTTCGGCAAGGTTTAGAGCTCAGGACTCAGGACAGATTTGGAGCTATTCTGGTGACAAAGGAGCTTTGAGACTTTGTTCTGATCTATGCAATTCACCAGACGTTTTTAAGCAGCTGATGTTATAGATGGCTACACAAGACACAAATAAAAAGATTATTGAGAAGCTTCTGCCTGGAAAGGTGAAGGCTGAGAAGACACAGGTAATGTCTCCAAGACCTTGAATAGCAGGCACTGAGTAGTATTATATGTTCACTGAATTCCAGAATTGGGGGAGGGGTAAGGCCCTGGACAAATTAGGAAGCCCTGTGTTACATGGTGAGTTAGAAACACTGATGTCATTACCCCATAATAGGTGGTAAACGTTTATACAATACAAATGCAAATTTTATATTTGTATCAAATACAAAAGCAAAATATGATAATAGCAAATACAATACAAATTAAGATGGTGAATAGGCTTTTGTAAGTTCAAATATATGTATGGGTGACAGATTGAATATTTATTATTCAATTCCAAATGGACCCTGGAATAGTTAAAAGCATCATATTGTTTTTAGCTTAGAATTATCCTTTTTATTATCAAACTTCTGAGGATGACCCAGAATTAGCACCATCATTTGCAAACATTCTCCTCTTTGCATTTCTGACCTGGAATCATGAACTCTAGTCTCCTGCCGGGAGAAACTTCATCTCCCTCGCCTGGCACTGGTCGCCTTCAGTGACAATGTTTGGAGGATGACATTTCTGATTCTCATATTGGTGGAAGTCCTAAAGATTGGAAACCTTCCATTCTACAACTAAACAGAAGCTGTAAACCAGTATGAAAGTACAGTCACAGCAAAAGAAAGTTGAAATTTTAGGGCTCCAACTGGTTGTCATTTCATATGTGAAAAACTTTCATTCGTTTGTTTGTCTGCTGCTCTGGGTCTGCCTCACTTACGTTTCCTCATCCAGTCAGTTGAAAAGGGCACTTTAGACAGTGTGGGCTTCACTGTCAACCCAGGGAGACCACTTCATTGGTTAGAGCCACACTGGTCCAGGTTTGCTGTCTGGCCGAGAAATCCTGTCTGGCCTGCATGTGTGTCATGTGGACTCATGCACCCTGACTCTCTGCCTCTGTTCTCCTCAGGACTACTGGCTCTCTCTCCTCTACAAGCGCCTGATTGGCCCAAAGGTGTTGGCCGTGCACGTAGCTGGGCTCCAGCGGAAGCCGCGGCCAGGCCGAGTGATCCGGGACAAACTACGGATTTATGCTCACTGCACAAGCCACCACAAGTAAGTCTTCACCCAGAAGGCACAGAAAGCCACCCAAGGGGCTTCAGGCTTTCGGCCTCTCTTAGAATTCCAGGCCGTTTGGGACTCCTTCAAGACATAGTGAAAACTGCCTCTGGAGTCACTCACGCTACCTGCTCTTCACGTGTTTCAAATGATCTCAGATAAATAGCTTTTTCTCCAAGTAAACCCTTTTCTCACATTTAGAGGATTTACTCATAAAAGCGTTCCTAAAAATACATGCCATTTGTTCATTTATTTGTTCATTCAACAAATGTGCATTGAGCATCTTCTCTGTACTTTAGTTGATGTAAAGAGACTTTTTTGTGTGCCTCTGGCTGAACCAAGGCGAGACATATAGAATCTTCTTCTGTGATCCACCAGCAGAGCTTGAGGAAATAAGTTGACATTTCTAAGACACATGCCGGAGAGCTTTACCACTAGAAACTTAGCCCCCAAACCAGTGTGTCCCAAACTGGGGGTCCTCAGGATGAAAGGAGTGCCCAAAGGTAGTCATGTCAGCTTTAGAGACATTTTCAGTATTTCAAAAATCTTTTCAGCTATTTTAAGGGTGTAAGAAGTTAAATAAAATCTAGGCTTCCTGTTTCAGGGGGTTGGACCTACAACAACTCAGCGTGGTCACATGTGATTATCCTTCTCTTTTTGGATCTGAAGCACTGGTTGTCATTGGAGTTGTCTTTATAACGAACAGGAAAACTAAATTATCAACAAATCAAGTTTGGCAGATAAAATATTTTCAAACATGAGGATGTCAGGTAAAAACTTACAACAGCCTAAAGCAAAACTCCTCTGGACCATCTATGGTTTTCTTACATCATTTCCTGTTTAAGGAGCAGAGTAGGCAGCCCTGGAAAATGAGAATTCTTTCTCTTAATGCAAAGAAACCCTGGGGGGAAACAAGGGGTCAGCAAGTGCCTCCAGCCGGACCTTCATTCCAACTAGCCCATCAGGGCTTGATCAAGGGCAGTGGATAACACAAAGAGCGCCAGTGGTCAGGTTACAGCAGCCGATCCTTTCCCCTCCTTGATGAGAGAGGAGCCAAGCCAATTAATTTATCATGATAAGATTTTTCAAAGAATCACTCTGAGCATAGGGGACCAGGGGCCAGTTGTCTTGTCAGTAGATACAAGTACCTATTGTGGATGAGAGGAGGCTGGTTTGGGCAGAGGCCAGAGGTTTTCAACATCCCTTTTGCTCCACAGGAAGCTCAATCCAATACCTGACAGAGAGTGACTGCTTTATGGCCTTGGCCTGAAGTTATCTGATCACCACACAAGGAAACATTGTATTCCTTGTCTCCTCCCTGGCCCTGAGGTAACCACCCAAAAGGTGGACCCCCACCTTCAAGAGAGAAAAATTATTCTTGGCACCTTTTGTCTCTTTGGGGAAGCATGTCAGTTTGTGGCCTTTATACTCTCCATTTGAGGACTCAGGGGAAAAAAATGTCAATAGCATGGGCTCAAGAGGGCTTGAGTGTCTTCCCAGAGGGCTCCTTCCTGGTCTCATCCCTATGTTCATCCTAACGTTCTTTTAGGTTCTCATGGAAGATGTCACTAATATTCAGAGTATACCATGAACTCAGGGCCAGTGTCTCACTAGTTTTTGTATTCTTGGCGTCTAATGTAGAGACTGGCATACAGATGGTCTCAGTAAATATTTGATAAATGAATGAATGCAGAAATAGGGCATTAAGACATTAAGATGTTACTGCTGACTTACAGTTCTAGCTTCCTTCACCTTTGATATCACCTCATCAGCTAGAAGGAAGTGGTGTGATGGAGTGGTTAAGATTCTACCATGCACTAGCATGAGGCCTCAAAGAAGTTACCAAAATCATCTAGATTCCATATTCTCTACATCATCAGCTCTCCTCTACTTCCTATGGGGAGTCCTCCCAGAACCTTTCTGGGGAAATGGTGCCACTGTGCTTCTGTCAGTACCATTCCCTACTGGAAAGAGAGCGAGAGCGAGAGCGAAAGCGAGAGAGAGAGAGAGAGAGAGAGAGAGAGAGAGAGAGAGAGACTTTGCTAAGTCCTTTTCATACAAGACCCTAATGATAATGAATGGGGTGAAGGTCTTCTTGTTCCTATTAGAAAGGAAACCCCTGAATGGATGCACTGCACTGGCTGAGGTTGCAGGTCTCCTCAATGTCAGTGGATGTCAGGTGCCTCAGACAGGTAGGCACAAGGAGAGAAGTGTCTCTGCTCCATCTTTCTGGGATACCATGTGCCCTCCCTCTGCCCCCTCATTTTCCACAATAGTCATGAGGAAGTCACTTAATTTATTTGTGGCCAACGAGACCAAGGTCACAGAAATGCCCCAGAGTGGGCATGTTGACCTAACACTATTCAATCTTGACCAATACTCTGAAAATATATATCCTTGGTCAAATCAGGGATTAGGTGAGAAAGTATAAAGTTACCAGTAGAACAACCCAAAGAAAGTATCTATTAACACAACTTCTGCACTACATACAGCATGTATTGAACACTTGCTATTGTGCCAAGCATCTTGCCCATAATTTGCATTTATATTATCATATTGAATTCCAAAGGTCCTATGGTATCACTCCTATATGCAAGTGATACCATTAATAATGCAAAGAGTTTTACATTTGGAAAGAACCCTTAGAGGTCTTTTGGCTTAGTGTCCCACACAACACAGAAATTCCTTTTACAACCTCCCTGACAGTGATGCAACCTCTCCCTGATTACCTTGCAGTCTTTCAGGGCAGTCTCTTGCATTGTGGGTCATTTGTGACCTAGGAAAGCATTGTCTTTTATGATTAATTTAGGAGACAAAGTTAGATGCTCAACCAACACCAGCAGGTGCTTTTCTGTTTTCTGTTCTCAAGTTAACAAATTAGGACACTGGCAGCATGGCAGTTCTCACCTTAGGTCTTCTTATTCAGAGAAAAAATATGTTTTGATTGGGAAAAACCTTTTTCTAAACCATTCTGCTGAGACAGTGTGTGTTTCTAGGGAGGAGTTGAGATCTTTAGCCAAGTTCAGAACCAATTGGAACCTGGTGAATATTGAAGCAAACTTGAGCCTTTTAAGGTTCAAGTTCATTTATTATTGGCAAAACATGACTTCCTGTTTTTCAGAAGAAGTTTTTTTTAAGACTCATAAAAAAAGGTTCCTGAGGCTTCTTGGACATCAAATGGCTCTTACAAAACAATATTTTGATGAGTTAAGTGTAAATGAATCAGAAACATGTGGATTAAATTTCCCTTAAAATACACAGGGGCTTTGAAATTAGGAGAAAAAAATGTTTGGCAAAACATGGCCTGACTTTTACCGAACCCAAAAACTTTGAATTAGATTTGGAGACAATGGACCTACCCAATTTTCAAGCACACTGACTTTCACTGAGAATGACCATGGATTCTAAAGCATCGTCCTCCCTTCCCTTTCCTATCTCCCAGCTTCACTGGAGACATTTCTAGAACAGTGACTTTTTCTATCTGGAAGTCAAGCTATACCTCCCCCTGTGACATTCCCCACCTCTCACATCCAGGATATTCCAATTCTAGCCTCCCTTCCTGACTCACTTCCTCCTCTCCCGATGGCAACACAGAGAAGATGTCAGGCGGCAAAAGAACAGCCAGAAAGATGAACTCCAGATACATGGATTCCCTGCTGGGGAAAAAGTCTCACCATGAGTGAGACATGGAGCAAGACAGATGTTCTACCAGACAAAAGGGGACATTCACTCAAAGAACCCAAACCACCTGGACTAATTGCCTGCAGGCCATGCCTTCAGTCAGATCCCATTTTCTTAGGGAACGGATACTCCTCCAAGATTAGTTTTCTGTGGGCAGAAAACATACATTCTTCAGGGATCTGGATTTGTAACACCGTACTTCCAGATTGGTGCTACACTCCCCAACCAAGAATGAGTCTTCACCGCCAAAAGGCCTCTGCTTAACTCCCTTGCCATCAGCAAGCAGGGAAAGGGGCGGCTGAGGCCATCTTTAATGCCAGTGCCCACCTGAGGCGGCTCCAGTTGTTGTGTGAGAGCCTCCGCGCATTGGTCTCTGGGCCAGCTGTTAGTACTGGTTTGTCTCCCCCAGGGGAGCTGTGGATATGGAAAGCAGACCATTGCCAAGCAGCTTGAAAAGACAGCTTTCCCTGCAGCGATGCTGTGATTTCAGGCCTCCCTCCCACCAGCCACTTTCCCACCCCCCCACCCTTCTCCTCTGCACTCCCTGAGGCCTCATTCTGCCCAGCTCTGCAGAGGAGAAACTCATAAATGAAGCACAAGGCTCCCTCTCCCCGGCCCCTGCTGGCCTTTGAGAAGGTTGTTTGCTGGCAGGTAACAAAAGGGTTTACCGCAGTCGGCAAAACTGGTACCCACGCATGCTTCCATTTGTTCACGCTCTGAAGCCCACAGAACCTGCAGTTAATGGTGTCTTCCTCAGCTCTGCACACAGCTAAGCCTAAGCTTAAAGCCCACCAGTGGAACATAGTTGGTTCTTAATGATGGTAAATGCTGGCTCATCTTTCTTCAGAGCTCTGGTGACACAAGTGTGCTCAAATAAATTGTCATCCTCTTCTGACCTAACTCATTTGGCTCCAAAAGCTAATTCACAAGCTTCAGGGAACTGAGAAGAAGGATGGGAGGAGGGACCAGATAGAAGAGTCATTTAATAATTCTTCAGAATATCAAAGCAGGCATCCAAAGAGCCTTGAATACAGTAATGTACCCTCCTACACATGCAAGAAAAATCATCTGACACACAGCCAGTAGGATATACTTTGGTAATTCTTCTCATAACCTTAATGGATTGCTCTGGGCAAGTGGTTCCCAAACCCAACTCATCTGCCAAATATCCCAGAAAGATTTTTTTTCAGCCCCAGTCACAAATGGATTGCATCAAACTCTCCAGGGATGAGCCCTGGAAACTGTAGTATTAAAAACAAACAATCCTAGTTATCATATTGACCTGCCCTTGGTCATTCGACTCTTAATTAGCACCTTTAGCAGCAGAGATCAGTGACCCAAAGGCTGAGGGGTGCTGTGTCCGCAAGGAATGATACTCTCCTCTGGGCAAAGCTGATGTAGAGTTTCTCTGAACTCCTCCTTTGAAAGCAGGACCAGATCATTTTTTCTATTTCCTCTCATTAACCCATCCAGATGGGGCCCTCAGGGACCCCTTAGAAACAGTCTTTTTTTCCTACAAGAGAGAAGGAAATCATTATAGTTCTGTTGATGCATGCTGAAAGGCCATGTAGGCATATGGTTCTCCAGGCTTCTGAACATCTTGTACTGGTGTAAAAGGATTCCAAAACGGTGAGTAGTTCTATAATCTTGGGGTAGGTAAACAGCTAAAGCAAAAATAAAAAGATCAATACATTTGACTACATAAAAGTATTAACTTTTAGACATCAAATACAATGTAAATGAACTGAATCGGTCAAAGAAAACTGGGGGAAATTTTGTAACATACATACAGACAGAGGATCACTATCTTTAATAAGTAAATAGTTTTTATAAATCAATAGAAAAATCGGAAAAGGATGTGAACAGTCAGTTTATAAAAGAAGAAATAAAGTGGCAGACAAATGAAAAAAATACTGTCTCTCAGTATGAATTTTTAAAAAATACAAATTCATACAACATTGCAATCCCACTATCACCTCTCAGGTTGAGAAAGGTTACTATCCAGTGTTCTTAAGGGTACAAGGAAATGGGTGCTCTCAGATATAACTAATCAAAGCGAATTGGTACAAGCTTTCTAGAGAATTAATACCAATATTATCAAAATGTGTGTATCAGTCAGGATAGGGAAGGCTATGCTATGATAACAAAGGACCTCCACATCTCCAGGGCTTTCAATAAGAAAATGTATTTCTCATTCACACTACTCATCTGTCATTGCTCAGGTGTAACTCTACTGCACATCATCTTCATCCCAGGATACAGGTCATAAAGCAACCTGGCTCCTCAAGCTCCTGCCCAGAGAATTTAACATGTCCACCCACATTTCACTGGCCAAAGCCAATCATGTGATCACTCTAGCATTCAATAGAACAGGGACAGAAAATCGTCCACAGGGCACCCCTGGGAATGAACTAGAAGATTTGGTGAGGAATTATACAATGTGTATTTCCAACTTTGAGAACTTTATCCTTCAGAAATAATCATGATGTGCAAACAATTTGTGAACAATGAAGTCCTTCATCACATAACTTATAATGGCAAAAAAACTGAAAACAACCTAACTCCCCAAAAGTAGGGTTTTAGTTAAATAAATTATGTTATATTTCTATGATTGTGAATTTAGCATTCTCCTATAAGTAGAAAAATATATAATAACATAACACGGGAACATGTTTAAGATATTCATGAACTGAAAAAACTGTGAACAATGTGATCCCAATGATGTTAAAAACTGAGAAATATATATGTATGTGTCACATATGCAGTAAATATTTGTTAAATCAATAAACTAAAAAATACTGGAAGGATATTTACCAAAATGCTATTATATCTCAAGATACTTGGATTATGGGTATTTTCTTTTTCTTCTTTGTGTTTCTCTATATTTTTCTTTCTTTCCTTGGCTTTTCTTTTTTCTTTTTTTTTTTTTTTTGCAATTAGCATGTTTTACTTCCATACTCAGAAAGAAGATATTTTGTTGTCTCAAGCCCTTGCAATACATTTAAACAGAAACAAAAGGAGTAGGGTGGGAAGTGGGCATCTTCTTTGCAGAAATCCACAATAACAAGGCCTTCTTCTCTTTGAAGGTGTAGGGTGGCCAAGAACTATATTATAATACATGCCCTTTCCTATGGTAGTCCTGTTTCATGCAGTCTATGAATTATTCAGAAGCATCTAACAGACCACTTTGTTTCCATCTTGTTCTCTTCTCTCTCTTTGGATCTCAGCCACAACTATGTTCGTGGGTCCATTACACTTTTTATCATCAACCTGCACCGATCAAGAAAGAAAATCAAACTGGCTGGGACTCTCAGGGACAAGCTCGTGCACCAGTATCTGCTGCAGCCCCATGGACAGGAGGGCCTGAAGTCCAAGTAAGTGCTGACCTGGAAATGGCTTAGGCGCAAGTGCAGGAGGTGGGTTGGGAGGGAGCTGGAGTTGCCCCTTTGCTGAAGGCACCAAGGGTGCTGCTAATTAACTCAGGGACTCAGTGGGATTCAGTCGGGGGACCACTGACTCCCTTTGGGAGCCTGGTCCAGCACCTCCCTGTCTCTAGGTTAGGATTCCTCAACTGCAAAGTCAAATGGTAGACAGAATATTTCTCAACAAAGGCATTCTTGGACCTGGGCAAGAAAATTCGTTATGCAAGATGATCACATTTCAAGCTATTTAGCATCCTTGGCCCCTATCCACTAAATGCCAGTAGCAACCCTTAGTCATGTGACAACCCAAAGCATTGGTAGTTGAGAACCATGTCCCTCCCAGGAGTAACATTCTATAACGCTGTGACTCCCTGTTTGTCATCATCTACAAACCTTCTGGGGCTTAGAGGAAGAAGCACTTCCTCTGAACATCTGACCAAAGGGTCAGATGTTCAGAGATCAAGAATCAGTTCTGCCCTTAACTTTGTCACTTCCGGCACTTCACCTCTCTGGATCTCAGTTTCCTTATCTGAGAAACAGGAGAAAAATTATATTCCGGGGGCTTTGTGGGCCCTTCAAACTCTATAAACATATGACTCTATGATACCGCCCACTTCTCCCAGTCTGTACTAGAGACTGTTGACGACAATGACCTCTACCAGCAGAAGGCGGCTCTAGGCCACGGCGAGAAGGGCCTGGTCAAGGGTAAAGCCACCCCAGCTTCCCAAGGAGGGCCTCCCAGGAAGGGTATGGGATGTTGTACAGACTGGGAGCGTTCCCATTCCATTTTTAATGTTTACCAAGTTTAACAAAGCTGTAAACTTGGAGCAGGTGGCTTGCACTCCCACAGCTGCCCACAACTATTTGCGCTATAATTGTTCGCGGTTGCACTGCAACCTTGGTGGCTTGCATTTGGCTTCCAACTGTATGTGCAATGAGAACAAAACACAATCTGGGAAGTCACTTACTGAGTTTCTTTAGCCCACCCTGGGTCTGTATGTGCAGCCTTGGTTCACATTCTGGCTCTGCTTCCTGCATACATGTACCTTGCTTCTACTTTTCTTTCCTCTCAATCCTACCAATATCAGCAGAACTCTCTCGAGTGTTTTATCCCCTCTCTCTCAACTTCCCAGTGACTGGTGTGCTGAATTCCCGGTCTTCGTCCTAGGCAAGAGACTAGGTTCTGGTTCACTAAATAATCACATGACCTGGGCTAACCCTTTAATTCTAATCCCTAGGCCTCAATTTCCTTACCTGCAAAATGCAAGAGCTGCTACATATTTGGTAAGGACCTTTCTAGCTCTAAAAATTCTCATCTTGGGTCTGATTTTCTGAGGACCATGAGTCTGTTTCAGTCTCCCCCTGCCATTCAGTAATGACCTGCCAAGTCATGTCTGGCAGAGGGACTGACTCTTCCGCAGCAATTGTGAAAGTTCAGTGTCCTCTGGAACCAAAGCTTAGGAGGCGAGTCTGCCCAGTGTCAGGAAAACCATGGGTACCACGTGGAAGGCACTGACCAAACGCCTAGGCTGACAGGCCAAGGTAGCAGTGCCTGCTCTGCTACTTGCTGGCTGTACCTTTAGGCAAGTGACATAGTCTCTATGAGCCTCAGTTTCCTCATCTGTAAAGCTTCTTATGTGGAGAACAGTAAATGGGATAATCTATGTAAAGTTACTGACACAGCAATGCCTATTAGGAAATGCCTATTGTCTTCCTCGACTCAGAACTCTAGTTAGCTGGGGAAGAAGAAGGGAACAACTGTTTATTTGTTTGTTTTCTTTTTTTTTAAGATTTTATTGGAGAATTGGGGGAGGGGAACAGTGTTGGGGAATTGGGGGAGGGGAACAGCCAAGTTGTTGTTCTTCAGTGTTTGTTGTGGAGGGCGCCAGTCACCATCTGACTTCCCGTTGGCAGCTCATAGCCTCTAAGCTCAAGGTGCCGTGTTCAATCTTAGCTGCAGGTGGGCATAGCCACCATCCCATGTGGGAATTGAACCAGCAGCCTTGTTGTTAAGAGTGCACCCTCTATCCACTGAGCCATCCGGGCGGCAGCTCAGCTCAAGGTGCCGAGTTCAGTCTTAGTTGCGGGTGGGCATAGCCCACCATCGAACAGGCAATCTTGTTGTTACACAAGCTGAGCCATCCTGTCACCTGTTGGCAGCTCAGTGACAGCTCAGCTCGGGTGCAGCATCACTGACTCATGTGGAAATCGAAACGGCGGCCCTGTTGCTCAGAGCTCACGCTCTTAAGCCAACACTTAACCAACTGAGCCACTCAGCTGACCCCAGGAACAACTGTTCTAAGAATGTTTCTCAAAAGCAGAATCCTCTCAGATTTTTAAGATAATGTGTTGATAAGACATTTGTTAAGATTATGATAAAAAGACATAAGAATTGCATAAATGCAAAACCATGAAACATGAGGAGATGGTAGTCAGAGGGTGGCATCATTTTATGAGCTGTTTCTCCACCAACCAAGGGCACAGGCCTCTAACCCTACTTACCCCCACTCTACAGCCGTGACTCCAGGATTATTCCTGATGTTTGAATTGGGCCACACCTTGGCCCTGTTCTACCTATAGCTGTCTTAAGAGTGACTGAAGTGACTCTCACTGGCCACTGATAAGCTGTATGTCTAATTATGCTGTCTCATACCTCACCTTGTCACTGTATTGGTGAGGAGTGGTATACGGCTTTTGGAGAATGTCAGAGAGGGACAGGGAAAAAGAGAATTTCATTTCACAGAGGCCCTAAAGAGCGATTTGGTAACACTCACTGAGACCAAATAACAATGTCACGCAAATGGAAGAAGAGAGAGCTGAAACCGGAAGGCCTGGATATGAATCGAGTTGCTACCATGTACCTGTGTGATCAAACCTCAGCTGCCTTCCCTGTCAGATGGGGTGATTGTGAGAATCAAGTTAGAGCATTGGAGTGAAAGGAAGCCTCCTACAAATGAAAATTTCACATATTCATGCATACACATACATATATAAGGACAAATATAGACACATACGATTTTACATATATTGTATTAGAGAGTGTGGCATTGGAAGTCCATCGAACTGGATTCCAGCTCTAACACTACTTCTTCATGGTGGAATTTTGGGCCCTTTGCTAGCATCTCTAAACCTGTTCCTGTCCTGTAAACCACTACTAATTGAACACCTCTCCCACATTAAACCTTGGTGGCCCTGACCCTGCGCTGTGCCACCTTGGACTGTAGGCTCCACAGGGACTGTCATGTACACTTTCAGTGCCACATCCAGCACTCTACACAGTAACTACTAATAAGAGCAAGAGCCTTCAGTGGTTCTGGGATGGGGGATCCCACAGGAAGGGTGTGGTTTTGGTGCGGCAGACTCTGTAGGAAGGATGAAAGGAAATGCTAGGAAGTGACTTCAGCCTTTGGTGTCTCCCTTTCTCTTTCATAAGCCTCTGGGGCCAGATTCTGTGTTCTGTGTCTGCTAATTCCTAGCTGCAGCCTGAAGCCAGATTAGCTCAGAAGAGGTTGGAAAGCTCTGGAAGCAGGGGAACCTGTAATTGCTCCTGTCTGGAGGGACCAAGAAGAGAATATAGAGCAAGTCAGTGTACCATTCAAGCCATCAGTTGGGTGTTTTGCCCTGGGGTTTCAAGAGAAGGGAGATGTTGGCAAGCTTTTTGATTAGTAGGGAACATGAGGTAATTCTTTTTCTCTTAGAATTGCCATCAGGGCTGGAAATATTTGAAATCTGAAAGGGTGTCTTCATGTTAACTTGGGGCTTGGGTATGTCAGATATTGCACAGAAAGCACCTTTGGGGCCACTGATCAGGCATAGTCCCGGCATCCAGGTCCACAGGGAAGGTACCTGTTTCTCATCTCACTGAGTGAGCCAATCATAAGACCCACCACTCAAGCCTTAACTCTTTATATAAGAGATAGTCCCTATTCTACAAACCAAACAAAAAGGTGGGTGCCCTGTACCCTTGAGGATAGAAGGGAAACTTTTACAAAACTGCCACGTGTATAAGAGAAGGGTATTCTGTGTCTGGAATACATATTTTTCAAGGATGGCTGGAGGAAATGGGGGAGATTTAATTTAGAGAAGACAAATAGGGTTAAGTCATGAGGTCTTTTTTCAGATATTCAAAGGACTGCTAAGTGAAAGAAAACAGATTTGGCCTAGGATCCTCTAAAATGACAGAAGACCAGGGAGTGTAGTTTAAAAGAGAAAGATTTCACCACAAAATGAGCTTTTCCCCCCCAAAGGCTTGCCTGTTCCGACGAAGGACAGGATAGGCTTTCTCAGGAGGTAGCCTATTAATCAGAGAGCACGCACCCTTGGCCATCTCAGAGGTGCTCTAAGATGCCTCATTTGGTGGGAAGTTGAGGTAAAAGATGACTGCTTCTCATCAAACTCTAAAATTCTATTATTCTGTTGCATTCATCTTCCCCCCAACTTCCACTTCGCCTGTGGAGCCTGTTGTCTCTATGCTCACCAGTAAAGTAGCTTCTTCCAGCCACTAAAAGGCCACACAAAGAGACTGTACTATGGCGGGGAGTAGTGGTAATATCAGCCTAGTTTTCCTCCAAAACATCTTCAGTTGCAGGCCCCTCCCTGTCATGTTCCCTGGTTTTTCACCTTTCCATAAGGAAGACTCACCATTCCCACCCAAGACAATCATAGTTCCCTTTATGGATAAGTCAGAGAGTACTTTGAAGGGCAGCTTTACCATCTCCAAAGGAGAGAATCTGCCCAGTGCCTCATATCAATAAACATTGCCTTCTAGGGAATCGTTTCTACCCCAGACATAAATAGCTCCAATATCTTTCAACAGAGAAGTAACAGGAAGACAGGCCAAACAAGTCAACTTATATCAAAACAACGGGAGGGCTCAGTTTCTGGGGGGAAAGTCAAACCAAGAGCACGTGTTTGGTCAGAGCCCAGTGTTCTTCCCTGGTTCATTCGCCTGT